CCGGGTATAATCAACAGAAGAAGGAACAGATTCTTAAAGGGATGGCGCCTATAGATAACCTGTCCGGGGTGGGCAATAAAGTCAACTATACTAAATAATGAGCAGTGCTTGTAAAGTGTGGGTATTCTTAGAGGATTGAAAAGAGGTAAGTAAACTATAGTACAGGTCAGAGTGGTTATAAATAAGATACCTAGTATTGACTGACAAGAAGAGAAGAGATGGCAAATAGTACAATTCCTTAGAGTTAATATAAGAAAGAATTAAGAAATAAGAAAGATAAGGTGCTTGTGTACTAGAGCTGTCCGAGAGAGAACCAACCCTGTCCCTGTGCTCTGAACAAACCTTGTATGTGCTTCTCTAAGAATTGAGTTTGATACTTCCTAGGCCTTGTTGCGAAGGTTTCTAATGGTTACTTGCCTTACAGAGTTACCTTATACTAACTGCCTTATAGCTTATAACCTTATAGCTTATAAGTAATTAACTGCTTCCTCGCCTGTAGACTAAACTCACACTGTTCTTCTAAATAATGCATTTAAAAGTATATAAATTAAGCGATAAGAGCTTGGAAAAGGGGAAAGTAAGTCAGCTTTCATTCTAAGTCTTATACTAGTTCTGTAGTTTTCTACCTGACTAATGTGTAGCGGCAGGAGCTTAAGAAATATAAGAAGAGCCAGATCTTGAAGGCAACACCGAGCCGAGCCGGGAGTTAGAGTGAAAAGCCAGTAGTTGGCGATAGGGGGAGCACCACTTGGTTAGCAAGAAAGAAGTCAACTAGTTGGTTACTTAGAGGAGTAGCGATAAAGTAGATGTCTATTAATTCTCGGAGTATAGGTAAATAAGATGTCTAAATTATGAAGTTAATGAGCTAGGTCTTATAGATTTAGTAATAGAAGAAAAGAAGGAACTAACCCTGTGCCCTTAATTAATGCCCTAAAGATATAGGCTTCAAATGAATTTCTTGCACGGGTAAGATCAGATGATAGGTAATTTCCCATAAAACTAAAGAAGAGCTGTTATAGTGAATTTATTCCTATAAGATTGACCCTATTGCTCAGTTACTCCGGTAGTATGGCTCCTGTTCTTGTTGAATGAATCCAAATAATGCCATTGAAAGCAGGTTTCGTCTTCAAGGATGGTTCGAGTTTGCAGAGTTAGAGCCCTTATTGTAAGTTTCAGCTGGAAGTGGTTATGAACTTAGAGTAGAGTTTGGGGTTGGGGTCTAGTATACGCTTGTCTCGGTTGCCTTTGTAGTCGTGTCTTGGCGGGTAGGTTGACTTACTTAGTTTACAGAGCTCGGGTCTATTGGAGGTCGGGTCGGGTATTGGATTACTGACTTAGTTGACAGAGGAGTAGTGAGTTTACAGAGGAGTGGGGAGTAGACTTAACACTGTCAGAATAGCTAAATAAAGAAGAAAAGTCGTTGCATTTCTCATATACTCACTAAGTATACACTCAGTAGCAAAAAAGCACTATCCAAAATCTGTTATTATTAAGGATAATAGCGTTGAGAAAGATCTTCTTAGTAAAGAGAGAAAGTGGAAGCGTACGAGGTTGATAACGACGAGTCCAGTCCTTTGGTTGTTGCTGCCGCTACACATTAGTAATAGCTTGGCTCTGAGACTAATGAGTGGAATTCTTGAAAGTAATAAATAGAGGTCGTGGTCCGGTTTCATAAGAGGTTGCATAGCAGTTACCAGAGTGAAGAAGTAGCTTATCGGCTTGGCTCATATGTTTAATGATATTCCAAGGCTCGGGTAGGCTTGCTGGGTGTTAGATTAGAGATGCGCCGCTTCTGATCTTGGGCGTTGTTAGAGATGATAAAGTCAGTTTCCCCACTATTCCAAAGCAAAGTCAGTAAAGTAGATTTATGTTCTTGTGTCGGGTAGGGGAAGGGTAGTTTACTCACTTGTGGAATGAAGTTACTAGGCAAGGGAAGTCGGAAGAGACCAACTCATGGTGTCGAATTACAGAATCAAACCATGAAGTGGAAGCCTTAAACCAGGAAAGTGAGAATCAAACAAGTACTACATCAGAGTTTACCTCCATAGTTAAAGAATAGAAGCTAGTAGCAGCAGCCTTGTTTTCAGTTGACTCAGAATGTGCACCTCAGTAGTTCAAGAATAAACCTCGGTTGAGCTAGCCCTTATTAGTAATTTGGGCCAAGCTACGACTAGACAAGACTGCAAGCAGGGGGAGCTAGTTCTGATATAGCTACTTCAGACTTCAACCAATACCAACAAGAATGCAAATGGTAAGTAGAAGCCTTAAAGCAGTGCCAACAGGAATCAAAGCAGTAACAACAGGAATGCAACCACTGATACTAAGACTGAAGCTGCTAAGGGAGAGAATGAGACAAGTGAGTGACAGAATCGAGCTAAGGAGTCACAGAATCAAACTAATGAACCGAAGCCTTAAGCCAGTGCTGGGCAGACCTCAACCACTAGCAAGCAAGCCGGATATCAGTGCCACTAAGACTTCAACCACTGCCAGCAAGACTCAAATCACTGCCGCTCAGGCTTAAATCAGTGCTAACAGGGATGAGACAGCTGCCAGCAAGCCTTCACCGAGGGAGTGATAGACTCAACCAAGTACCACTCAGCCTGAAACAGTGCCCCCACTAGCCTGATCTGCCAACCACATGGCTCAGAATGAAGCTAAGTAGTTAGAGAATAGAGCTAGGGAATGATAGACTCAAACAAGGGAGTGACAGCCTGAAAGCAAGGGGAGCTAGCTCCGACTGAAGCGGTGTCTAACAAGCCTGCTACTGGTGCTTCCAAGCCTGCAGCTATATAGCTAAGGTCTAAAACCACTGTTGCTAAGCCTGTTGGTAGGTATGCTCGGAATGTAACTAAGGAGTTAAAGAACCAAACCAGTGAATCAAAGAATGAGACCGGGTATGACCAGAAAGCCGATTGATAGACTACTTCTTCCCTATGACCAGAAACCCTCATCTAGAGATAAGAATTGGAGCATGACCAGAAGTCCTATAAATCCTATTTCTTACCTATGACCATAAAGCCGCATCTAGTAGTGAAGTCAAGAATTGCACTCAGATGACAGAGAATCAACCACTGCATCCAAGGCTTCAACTCGATCCAATCAGACTGAATCCAGGGAGTCTGAAGTTAGAATCAAACCACAGCCAACCAGTCTTCACATGCAACTAATAGGTGAGCTAGTGGGAAATCCAGAGGAGTGAATGACTCGGTTAGGTGGGAAAGAAAGTAGAGATGCAGAGAATTGGTAATAAGGGATAGGTTTGGTAATTGATGACTCCTCTACTATTTGCTATCCGGCAAGTAACTACTAATGTTACGCGCCAGCGCTGTTTCCCGGGAAAACGCAAAAATAGAATTCCCAATAGGTGCTCCAGGAAGGAAAAGATCTTTGCTATGAAAAAACACGGGGTTTCTTCCACTTTTCATGAAATTGGGGAGCTCTAGGAGGGAAAAGAAGGTTGTAACGAAAAAACACGGGAAAACGGAAAAGTAGAATGAAAATAAGGTTCTCTATTAGCCAAATTGTCTTCACTGCCAACAGCTCCTGCCGCTACACTGACGTAGTTACTTGTCCCATAGAAATTCATTCTATCTTTCTAATAGAATTCCAGTGGTTCTTTTCCTGTTCATAAGTTTGGAAAGGAAGTTGCTAGGGTTAGCTCGGTTGCTCCTTCCTTCCTTTAAGAACGGAGTTTGATACAATCATATAAGCAAAATAAAGGACATAGGCAGAGGAGAGGCTCACACTCGACCGACACTCTGAACTTCCCGCGCGCAACTCATAACACATGCTGCCGCTACACACGAACAAAGGACTTGGCGGTCTTCCACTCTTATCTACAAGGGTAAGGTCTTCAACTCTTCCTTGAACTGGAACTGGCCTATCACTTACTGCCCGGTCCCACTCTATCATTTATAGCCCGGTCAACTCTCAACTCCAGGAGACTGGTTCACTCGGAGACAGGTGAACTCTTTACTCAAAGACCAGAGGATAGGCCCTTATAGTCAGTTACCCCTTGTTTCATCAGTTATCCTTTTATAGGAGAATATATCATTAATAGGAGAATATATCATTTAGTAAGGTTCAACTTGAAGAACTCCCATACTGAGGCGCCAGTTGATCTGATTTATGACTTGTCTTAACTTTCGTTGCTTTTGTGTGCCGTGCGCGAACTCCCGTAAGCTTAAGATGCTAGTCATGAAGATTGCCCCAACTCACTACTGCCGTTACTAATACTAGTTTCACTCTTTTTCTACTAATACACTAACTACTCTCTTATCTCTTTAACTCCCCAGCTCTTTCCTCTTTACTGAAGGCTCCTCTACCTTTTACTCACTATTGATAGCCTTACTCACTATTGATGGAACTCTTGCCAAGATACCTTTAAGCCTCTGAACCACTACACTTACCAGAGTTGACTATTTCAATCGGCTTCAGTAACCCTATAAATTCTCTATTCTATAATTCTCTATTCTATCTTACTATTACTATTAATAGTCAAAAGAATCAGATGGAGCGGAGCTGGTGAGGAAGCCAAGCCGGGGTAGAGACAGACTGCCCTTTACTATTTATGGCAGCAGTTTCAAGATCATCTGCAGTGGGGTATTTCGGAAACTACTCTCAATCAGGTATTCGAATTAGATACAAGGTACAGGTCTGGTCCTATTGCATCAGTGTTTTTGCCTGTTAGTTTCCAGAGGAAAGGAATCCAATCAATACTTGTTGCGGCGGTAGCTAAGTCTATACTGAGTTGCCTTATTGGAAGCAATGTAGCTAAGGTTATCCCCCTTATTGGAAGCTTCGTTCTAAGGTTTCTAATTATGATTCACCAATCTGCCGCAATCAGTAGTAATAGAAATAGGCCCATAAGTTCAAGTCAGAATGCAGTTTTAGTTGACAGAGCCTGGTTGCCATAGTTCGGGAAGTAGTTCATTGTTGCCAGATAGGAGCCTTAGAGAAGAATAGCCTGCTCGAGGAAAGGAAACTCTAGAAGCAGTTGTGAATGAGTCCGGTCGTTTAAGGCATGGTCAACTCTTCTTATAGCTCATCCATTATTGAACCTCGTAACCATTCCCAAAATGCATTTGTATTGCTTGTTTCTTCCTTGTTCCCTTCTCCTTCCAGAGCTTATGTTCCCCCAAACCAGGACCATGTGCAATAAAATCCAGTATTGACTCGGCACTCTCATCTCAATTAGTTGATTCGGAACAATAAACAAGTGCAGTTGCTTGTTGAATGCACAACTTCTGTAATAGAGTAACAACAACACTAGCAAACCTCCACTTGCTAATGCACCCGCTCCAGAATGAAAGTCAGCTTAAAGCATACAGTATAGTATGATTGACTCTTACTCTGGTTGGCTTCTGGAACTCTACCACTTATTTCCCGGCGCACGAGGGCTTTCGATCTATACCCTAAACTTGCTCTGCTGACTCACAAAACTCTAACACTGTGAAACTCCTAAGGCACAACGATGAACTCAAAGAATCTATCGTTAAGAATCCATCTCTAATTACCCGCGAAAATCTATTTCTAATTGTGGGGCCCGCTTCAATCTCTCTTTTGAATCTGACTGGCTTCAATCTATCTTCTCTTTTGAATCTTATAAATCAATAGCTATAATCTTCTCTAAATGAGTAATAAAAGACCAGTTCATAGTAGTTCTTTCTTTTCTCTTTCTCTATTCTTTTCTGGATTCTCTAATTGAGTAATAAAAGACCAGTTCATAGTAGTTCTTTCTTTTCTCTTTCTCTATTCTTTTCTTTAAGATTAGCGCATATAAGTCCAATCAAATAATCTATAATATAGACCTCCTCATAGTTCTATAATATAGACCTCCTCATAGTTAACAAAACATCTGACTTTTCTTTTCTCATATTAGGCGCTACTTCTTTTCTTTTCTCATATTAGGCGCTACTTCTTTTCTTTTCTCATATTAGGCGCTACTTCTTTCTTTTCTAAACGGAAGTTCCAGTTGAGTAGCAGGACCGGAAGCAGCCCGCCCGGATTACAAGATAAGATTTCGGGGGGCCCCGCAGTTCTCAACTCAACCATTACCCAAGAAAGAGATGATAAAGGACCAACGACGATCTATGAGGATAAGGAGTAGGAGTAGTAGGAGCTTTCATGACAGTATAGGCAGCATAATATCAAGATGACGAGAGAGAGAATGAGACAAAGCCTCAAAGGTGGAGCACTTAGACATTTCACTTTGAGTCTGCGTAAGTCTGCAGGTAGGAATTCTTCCGGTCGTATTACTTCTTTTCACCGAGGGGGTGGCTCAAAGCGATTGCAGCGAAAAATCGACCTGAAACGCAGCACTGAGTCTATTGGCATTGTTGAAAGGATCGAATATGACCCTAATCGTTCTTCTCGGATCGCTCTAGTACGATGGGGGGTTAAGCTACGCCGCCAGAGGAAATGCAACACGATAGAAGAGTTCGCTCCGCCGCGTAAGATCCTAGAATCCACCATTGCCACTATCTTTTGCCTTTATTCGTTCTCTTCCCTGCCCGGTCAAGTTTCTCAAAGAAGGGGCTCCCAAGCCAAGTGCTTGCTTACGCTTAATGTAGTGGTCGGCCTTCCAACCTTCATGCCTCCTTGGTCGAAGAGCCAAGCCAGCGCAGGAAGCAAACAAACTAGCGCGAAGGACGTTTTCTTCTCTTCCCTGTCCTCCCCCTTTGCCAAGGGAGATACTACATCCCTTTGCTTCGATAGCTCTTTAAGTATCCCAAGGATAGCAGTAGCTGGGGCAAAGCGCACTTTCTTTGCTCCGCGAATGAGAGATCAAGTTCTTGGAATCAATCCGTTTTCTCTTTGCGAGATCCGAAAGTGGAGAACGGATTGCGTTATCTGGGCACATAGGATCAAACGTAAAGGAGCGCTTTCTTGGCAGAGTTTGAGGCAGCAAGAAAGATTAGGGCTTGTTGAAGCAGCTGAGCATAATGAATCGAAGCCGAAGACGGATCAAGGTAGCTTGCAAGCCAAGCCTATAGGCGAAGGTATGAAGGATAGAGCGTGCAAAGTCGATCGTGCACCTGTCGTGTGACCCGTTGGTCCTAAGCAATGTCTTTTGCGAAGCGACCCACCTAGAAATCTCTCTCCTTTTAGAGAGTAACTACAATTGAACTTCAATCAGATGCGGGTATCCAATCCCGCCGCTGAGATGTCCAGCGGATTCCATGGCCTTGACGAATGGCCGGACACCATTGTTGTTAGAAGAGCAAAAGGCCTGGGGCATAGCAGGATGAACCAATGTGAATGAGTGTTAAGCTTCGTAGTCCGAACACGATTGGTGCTGACCACACTAGGAGCTACCGTGGTAGCAAGAGAGGCCAGGCGGTTACAATTGATAGGTTGTCACTGAGCATTCCGTCTCACACGGGAAGAGAGGTTTCATTGCAAGGCTCAAAGGCAATAAGCCCGTGTGGATCCTCGCGGAGTATAGCTCACATCCAAACATCTGATTGGGGAACGGGGCAACGCCCATGAAGCTCCGGCAGAAAGGGAAGGTCTGCCAGGCCGTATGCGCATGGGTGCAGGATTCTTCGAAAAAGCAAGGGCTGACTCGGAGACCTGAGACCTTGGCTTAGCAACGAATGATGGGAAGCTATAAGAGCTTTCTCTGCCAGCGGCTTATGTAGTGGTCGGCTCGCTCCACTTTGCTTCTCCCCTTATTCCACTTCATGAAATTCAGTAGTATCAATAAGCTACTTGTCGAGTTTACAAAGCTTTGTTTCTTGTAGTATACCCGCCTACCTTCATTTGCTTGGCGGGCTTCTTATAAAAGTCAGGAAGGAAGCATTGAGGTGGTCGACCACTACTAATATTTCTTTCTATACCAAGTAATGAGCGATAGCGAAGCCAAGCCTCTTTTTTAAGGCGGGTTAGACCTGATGGCAAAAAGATAGAAGTGACTTTGCCGAGCCGAGGCTAAGGTTATGGAATTACAGAGTGAGTTTTAGGTAGTCAAACAAAATAACTGGCTTAGCTGTTCTGTTCTACAAAGGATCAAAGCTTTTGTGAAAAAGTCACTTATCAGTCTACAAAGAAAGGGAGGAGTAACGCTGTGGATATAGACTAGGCGTCGTAACAGAGTCTTGTCAGTATGAACCTTAAGGGAATAAGTCCGCCTTGTCAGTATGAACCTTAAGGAAGAAGTAAGCGAAAGTGAGCTCGTAACTAATAAAGCTGGTATAAGAAACAAAACCCTAACAAATGGAATCTATAAATTTCAAGCTAAGAAGTCAAGGAAGGAAGCAGCTTCTCTAATAACCGAGCTTTGGCTTGATTTTCAAAGGAGAGAGAGAGGGGCTTTCTAGGAAGAGCCGTACGAGGCAGCTCACATACGGTTCGGTAGCCGAGCCACAGGACACAGGGGCTTAGGTCAACACTTATATATTAGCAAGTCATCAATTGGAAGCGGGTAAAACGGTGATGAATTGCGATTGGTCCAAACCTTCTAAAAGCTTCTTGCGACCTGCCCAGAATGTCCATACATACCTTCGTCGGTTCCAAGACCTTGTTCCCACTGCGAATTCAGATCGGGTTGAAGGGAGCAATGAGCTGGCTGCTTCTTTGCCACGCCCCCCAGTTTCTAGATACAGGAAAGGAGATCTCAATTCTCAAGTAGGAAATTGCATACCATTAGCAAATCTACGTATGGGAACATGGGTACATGATATTGAATGTAATCCAGGTCAAGGCGCAAAGCTAGTTCGAGCCGCAGGAACATATGCGAAAATAATCAAGGAGCCTGCCTCACTCTGTCTTGTGCAGCTACCTTCGGGTGTTTCCAAACAAATAGATTCCCGATGCCGAGCTACAATTGGTATAGTTTCTAATCCCAACCATGGTGCACGTAAGCTTCGAAAAGCTGGACAAAGCCGGTGGTTAGGCAGACGCCCCATTGTTCGTGGTGTTGCAATGAATCCAGTGGATCATCCTCATGGAGGAGGTGAGGGGCGCACGAAAGGAGGTAGACCTTCGGTGTCACCTTGGGGGAAGCCAACCAAAGCAGGATTTCGGGCAGTATTGGGGGTTGGTCAAGTCAGAATGTAGTTAATCATGCCACGACGATCTCTATGGAAGGGGAGTTTTCTTGATGCTTTCCTGTTTAGAATGAAGAAGAACAGAGAACAGATTGATAGCAGGAAAATTTGGTCACGTAGATCTTCTATTTCGCCAGAATTCGTTGATTGCTCCGTACTCATTTACAATGGAAAAACTCCTGTTCGTTGTAAGATCACTGATGGAAAGGTTGGGCATAAATTTGGAGAGTTTGCTTTTACACGGTCCTCGAAAACAAATAGAGTAAAGGGAAGAAAGGGGATAAATCCAGTCTAAGCGCCATATGGCACGAAAAGGAAATCCGATTTCGGTAAGACTTGATCTGAATCGTAGTTCAGATCCAAGTCGGTTCAGTGAGGGCGACCGCGAAAGTAACCGAATGGGTCCGGTCCGTCTTTTCCTGATCTTTCTCCCATAGAACAGAAATGAAAGGCATGGAAGGACGTAGCAGATGTCCGGGACGGACACGACTTCTTCTACCGCTAGAAGACCACAGGAAGAAATCAACCCTGGACTATAGCATGTCGTGAAAGAGGCACCCCATACTATGAAAAGCGGGCGTGTTTCCACCGTGTCTCCGGAGCACAGTTGAATGTAGATATTATGAACGCGAGGTGAAGGATACCAGGCCGATAAACCAAAGCAAGCAAGCACTCCCTAATGTGCTGATCCCTAGCGCATCCAGGGCCCCGGCACCCAGCTCGCTTAACTGGAGAGTCCGTAACAGATCTTAGAAGTTCTCGAGTCGTATATCAGCCCTGTCCTAGGAATAAATCACCCCAAATAGTTCACTCAGTTTCATTTCTTAGCAGCAGTGAATAAACCGAAAGAGGAGATCGCCAAGCAGGCAAGTAACTACGCTCGGCTTAGCACTATGCTCCGCTTCAACAAATGATAGTTTTCGGTAGAACCGGTGAACCACGCGAGCAGGTTAGATGCGTGGGACAGAGGGCTCATAGTACCATATTTCGCAGCTATGCAGTGGATGAGAAGGAGCCTAAATAAACCAACCACTCCCATTCTTTTTTATTCAAAGACAGACACAAAAGCACTGTTCTCAGAGATTGGACTCTCGGATTAGACTAAGCAGCTACCGTTCCGACGCGCCCCTAGTGGACTTGGCGGTGCTCTTTCTTTTCTCAAACCATAACAACTCTTAACTTTAGGGAAGATAAGGGAAGACCACCTGAGCGAATCGACCGAAGGCACTTTACTTATCCCAACCGAACGTTAGCGGCTTCTATCACGAGCAGCGTCACAGCAGCGGGGAGGATTCTCTCCAAGTATGGGGCAAAGGATCAATCGCTTTCACATTGTCCCCCGGGATCCACTACAGGTTTGGTTTTCGAGCCGTGTGATGGGTAACTATCCAGCACGGTTCAGAGAGCAATTTTCTTTAGTCTGCGCTGGTGAATAGAAGCCCCTAGGTCTAATAAGCAGGATTTCTTTCTCTTCCCACGGCTCCGTCACTATTGACTCTATTTATTATTATGGTAAATCAGTCTATCAAGATGTCAATCTTAGATCTTATTTCGGTTCGATACGTCCACCTACAATATTTACCTTTGGCTTTCGTCTTGGTAGGTGTATTATTCTACATTTTCCAAAAAGGACATTTATGAATTTCTTTCTTCCCCGTCGACCACTACGACTGAAACAACCCGACAAATCAAGACCCGGAAAGGCTTTGGGCCGGTGGTGGGCATTTGAGAAAGTCGGGCCGATCAGGTGTCTTTATTCAAGCGAGGGTAAAGAGGAACAACGAAACGAAGTCAGAGGCCAGGGGGCAAGGAAAAGAGTGGAGTTGATAAGGCTCTTAGACCGGGATAAGCAAAACTCAATCCTTATTTGGCCGAAAAAGAAGCTAAGCTATGGATACCATGACCGATCACCATCGATAAATACTCCTATTTCTAAATTACTTCGGGTCAGCGGGGCGCATCCTAAATACTTAGGGGTTGTAAATAACATAGCCTTGAAGATGGAGAATGACCACTCCTCCAGAAGAACTCCGTTATTAAAGTTCTTTTTACCAAAGAAGTACCGCGGCCCGACGCGGACCCTCCCAGCAGCAGCAGTGCGTCCATCCTTTCATTATTTGGTTATGCAATACTTATTGAATACAAAGAACAAAATGCATTTCGACCCCGTCTCCGTTCTCAATCATTTCGTGGCACCGGGTTTGGCTGAACCATCTACTTTGAGGGGAAGTCAGGCAGGAAGCCACTTCGAAAGGAGAATACGCTCTCGCATCGCTTTTTTAGTATCAAGCTTTACCAGCGATAGAAAGTGTCTTGGCCAAGTCAAAAGGAGGTTTCTCCACTTAATTAGCTTGGCGAATGATCTTCGCTTCGCGGGAACAACAAAAACAACCATATCACTCTTTCCTTTCTTCGGTGCTACCTTTTTCTTTCCAAGGGATGGAGTCGGGGTGTATAAGAACCTCTTTTTGGACAATGCCCGGGAACAACTCCTAGGTCAATTAAGGATCAAATGTTGGAACCTCATGGGTAAGGCTCCCAATGCTATAATTTCATTAATGGATAAATTAATGGACCTCGGTGATATTAGAGAATTAATAAAAGGAATAGATATTCTGATAGAGATCATACTGAGAAAGAGGAGAATTCCTTACGGGTACAACTCTTATTTGAACGAAGTGCACAAAATGCGATATAATCTGTTTCAGAGAACTCAGACTAATACCTTAATTGAGTCGGTCAAGATCAAATCCGTTTGTCAAAGTGCTTCTCTGATTGCTCAAGACATCTCTTTTCAACCGAGGAACAATCCAATCTCATTTCGTTCCATTTTTAGTAATATAGTCAAGGAGATTCCCTTAATAATGCCTAAAGGGGTGGAGGGGATACGTATTAGTTGTTCAGGTCGATTAGGAGGTGCGGAAATAGCTAGAACTGAATGCGGAAAGTTTGGAAAAACATCTCCTAATGTATTTAACCAGAAAATCGATTATGCTCCCGCTGAAGTCTCTACTCGTTACGGAATTTCAGGTGTCAAAGTGCGGATCTCATATAGTATGAAAAAGAAGGGACGTGCTACATCCGAAACGTACAAAATATAATAAATCTAGTAAAAGCAGATGTAGTAGGGGTTGCGAACCAGACGGTACACAACTTCGTTTTGGAAGATATGGCACCAAAAGTCGTGAAGCAGGTCGTCTTTCATATCGAGCCATTGAAGCAGCGCGTCGGGCTACAATCGGACAATTCCATCGTGCTATGAGCGGACAATTCCGAAGAAATGCTAAGATATGGGTCAGAGTTCTCGCAGATCTTCCTATTACGGGGAAACCTATAGAAGTTCGAATGGGAAGAGGAAAAGGTAATCCTACGGGTTGGATTGCTCGTGTGTCTACGGGACAAATCCCATTTGAAATGGATGGTGTGAGTTTGTCAAATGCTCGACAAGCCGCTACATTAGCAGCGCATAAACCATGTTCGTCAACCAAGTTAGTTATGTGGTCGTAACGTAATTGGTTAGTGGAGGGCGTCGTTGCTTGGCTCTTTTTCATCGCCGAAATTCGTAGACGAACCCTCTTTTGTTCCAGGCGTACGACCCTGAGACGAGACGAGACGTAACCGATGTCACTTTTACGGCCCTCCAGACAGTTACTCAAGTAAGAATAAGAAAGAGAAGGAAGAGCTCCAATTCAAAGAAAGACTCCGTTTTCTTTTTCACCGAGCCACATCTGGTGAGTATGTGTTTTAGAAGGACTCAGGCAAAAGCATGCATGGGCGTAGCGCTTGAGCTTAGGTAGGATTTCAGAAGCTCTATCTGTATAGTAAGGCTTGTCTCTGTTGGCAACCAATCAGACTCAAACAATAGCATAGGAAACAAGAGCGTAGGAGTGAGAGGCAGGATAAGGAGAATAAAAGACAGAAAAGTCAGATCTAGGTGTCGTAGTTGAAGAGCAAAAGGCAGCTTTTAGTTTAGTGGTTGAAGAGCGGCCGGGGCAAGTAAGGAAGAGTAGGCTAATAGGCTAGAGTTTCATTCCCATTTCGTGGTGGGGGGGGTCTCATTCTGAGTCATTCTGTAACTATTTCATTCTCACTTTAACCAGTTTCTTTCTTGGACTTAGCAGTTCCATTCTTCAATTCAGTATTCCTAGGCTTAGTTCCACTAGTAGGCTTAGTTCCACTAGGGCATCAGGCAACTGACTTAAGGCTTATACTCGCTAGTGGAATTCTGTAAACTCCCAAGCGTATACTCGGTGCTTTGCTTTAAGGCTTCTATTTACGAGTGGAATTCTGATATTAGTACTAGGGCATCACTTATCTTAGTACTAGGGCATCAGTGGTTGAATTCCGATACTGCTTAGGTGCATTCTGATCTACTACCCTCCCAAGTGTTGAATTCTGATCTTAGTAGTAAATGTAGTGACTTGGCCAGCTATTTACTTATAACTAACTACTCTAAGAACAAGAACAGACTATCATCTATAATACCAGGCACTCGAGCTCTACATTCCTTGGTGAAAGATTCTACCTTGCCTATCTCTACTTTGGCTACTGAGTTTGGCTACGCCGTTCCATCAAAACAGAATCCAAGTTTCAATAAGAGAATCGAACTAAGTAGTACAAACCAGCAAGCAAGGACCCGGATCGGTATTTCCAGAGTTTCGCTGAGGAGCGGAAGAGCAACATGAGCACATAAGAATGAGAGGAACAAATGCAGGACAGCAAATACGGGACAACAAATAAAGGACGGAGAGACAGGATCGGGTCACTCGATACTAGCTATGAGTAGCAGCCTCATTTGTATAGTAGTAGGATTATGATAGCAATAGTGAAAGCCTCGGTATCAGTGGTCCGAGCCCTGTTGTTAGTTGTCATTCCCTGGTTAATAGTTTGATTCCTATGGTAAGGCGTTTAGTTTGTATCCGTTACTTGGTGACTTATCGACAGGTTATTTAGAATAGGAGTTAGGGAAGGCATACTTCAAACAAGTAGAGTTAGACTCAAGGGTTGGGGTAATAAGCTCGGATTATATTAAGTAGTCGTATAGCCTTAAAGGGAGTAGTTTCAAACCTTAGGAGCAGTAGGCTTTCAGCACCTTCTTTTTCTTATTCTAGTAGTGAGGGGTGCCTATTCAGTAAGTCTGGTTTCAGCTAGAGCGGAGTCGTAGTTCATTTTCGTTATCCATAAATGAAGTCAGTATTAGAAGTCAGAGTCTTGTTAGGCGCCTAGGGCATCTAAGCTTCCGAATTGA